GGGGCCGCGGCCCCTCCGCGCCCACGAAGACCCAGCGCCGGCGGGGAGGGGCTCCTCGCTCAGTCTACGCGGTGAGTGACCCTTCCCGGCTTCTCCCCCGAGCGGGGAGGAGAGCGGGATAGCTCTGCATCCAGAGCTGCGGTGGGCGAAGAGCAGCGGGGCACGGAGGGAACGGCCTGCCGGAGATCCCGCTGAGGAGGTGGAACTCGGCGTCTCTTCTCGATCCTGCCTTCCTCGCCCGGTCCCTGCCGCTTTTCCTTGCATACCTGCCCCTCCACTTCCTCCTGCTTCAATGGATTTGCTCTCTCCTCTTGTCTCCGGCTAACTTTTCCTTCCTGTCTTACTCCGCTCTCAGATATCTATCCCCCACTTTTTAAAGAAACTTGTCTAACTCCATTAATAGTCTCTCCTCTAATAAGCACATTACTTCTTTTTTCTCTGGTCACCACCTTTCTTTGCTCGCCTATGCCTTCCTTATCTCTTCAGTCCATCTCGCACCCCCAAAACCGTTGCTGTTTAGTTTTTTCCTTTTTACCCCCCCCGAAGATTCTCATATTCATCCTTTAAGTATCCTTTTCCTTCTCTTGTAAAAATAAAAACCTGCTTTACATTCTAAAATATTTGTCTTATAATTCCTCTTTCTATCCTCTGCCTCCTTCTCATCTGTCTCTTTCTGTAAATGGGTTCCACCTAAACACTCTTCCTTTTTTATTTATCAACTTCCTTTATGCAGATTTCCCACTCTTTATTACTTGTCTCCTTTGCCCTTGTATACTTGGGTTCTTGTGTTCAATAAAATACCCTTCTTCCACCGGGTAGCTTTTACTTAGCCTTGCCTTTTCTACCCTTGCTCTTAAATACTGTTCTTCAGAATCTTCAAATGCTGCCTCCTTAAGAATTCTACATTTTTATATAGTATTATTCCCTCTTCTAAAGCTTCCTGTTTCTTCTCTAAGGAGCCTTACCTAATGTCCTTCACCCAGTGAACAATATCTTAAATGCATTGCTCCCCTTTTTAGCTCTGTCCTTGAATTAAAATTAATATCCTGTGATTTCTGTGAAAATTTTCACTTTTTATCTTACAAATAATGTTGCATTTTGTTTCTTTTTCCTCTATACTTTTCTCATTTCTTAAACCTCCCATCTTACTACACAAGCCCCTTCAGATATTCCCCTGCAATTTGCATGTCTCTTAAATGCTTACAAGCTCTGCTCCTTCCTTCATCTCTGCCTTCTCCCATGTTGTCATTGTAGAAATTTCTTTCGGCTTCTTTAGTCTTTTTCTTAAAGGGGCTAATTCCAGTTCTCTTGATTCCCTGTTAGCCAGCTTCCCCCTCTTCTGGCCCTCTAATTCCTTCTCTCATAACCTGGTGAGTCTCTCCTCATTCAACCTTGCCCAGTCTTGTATTTTCTCTCATTTGCTTGTTAGAGCTACTTGCAACCTGGTTGGGAGAGCAAAACCATAGAGAGCTTTTAGCATGTCCTCTCTCCTTCTCTCAACAGACCTCAACTACTGTCTCTCTGCAGTTGCCCTGTAGGGAGAAGACAGGGAAGGAACAAGGGGGTAGCCTAGATTTGGCTTCATGTTTGAGGAGTGTAACCCAGCTCTGTGTGTGTGAGTGTGTGTATGGAAGGGTTTGGTGCTCAGGGCAGATTAGGAGGCAGGTGTGTGCCTGTGAGTTTAAATGGGGGGGGGGGCTCTTGTTTGTTCCTGGAGCTTTTAGATAGTGCAGGAATGTGAGGAATGCCTTGGAAGCCAGCTGCAATAGATCCTCTTGTCCAAGCTTTCAAAGGTCACTGGACCGTCTATCTAGCAGCAAGCATCTCTGCCTGACTGCTGCAGAGAATGTGTGGGAGCACTGTCTGTACTACATGCATTACGTAGGATTGGGTTAGATTCTAGTCACAATGCTCTACTTGAAGACTGGTTTTGAAAGCAAAAATGATTGCTTTGGCCTATCCTGGTTAGGCAAGGATACAGCTCGATTACCTTCTCCCTTTCAAATATATTTGGGGTTTATGCCAAGTTTTATTCTAACATAATCCAGGTTAGTGCTATAGCATTTTTTTACATGTTTCAGAGCAGAGCTGTGGGAACTTAAGTGCTGGGAAAACTGTGTAGGAGATTCAGAGAGAATGGACTGATGGAAAACATATTAAATCTATATGGTGCTAAGAATTGTTTTATGGCTTTTTTATGTTAAATGCTGTTGTCAGAAAAGTAATCTGGTGATATCTTTGTGGAGTGCTAACAGAGCATTAGAGAGAACCTCCTCTTGTTAATACTGAGCTCCAAGTACCCCCACCCTTTATAATACCCATCAGATTAACCAACAGAGAAGCAGTGTTTTCCTAATGATGGGGCAGAGAGAACTGTCTGGTACAGCTAAATTACTGGGTGTGTCAATTACCATTTGAAATCACATTGAAGGGCAGTGGGACAGAACAATTGTAAGCATATCGGTTCCCAGATTTATATCCAGTAATGCTGTGGTTTGAGCCTGTTCATCTATTTAAGCTGCCAACACCAGTTAATTTGATATTTAGGGGGGGGGGCTTGGGTCAATATATTAGGTTGGAGGAGACAAAACATGTTGGAAAGTTTGAAGCAGAATAGTTTAGCTGCAGGTAAAGGGGAATCATCTACTGTGGTTTGAGCCTGTTCATCTATTTAAGCTGCCAACACCAGTTAATTTGATATTTAGGGGGGGGGGCTTGGGTCAATATATTAGGTTGGAGGAGACAAAACATGTTGGAAAGTTTGAAGCAGAATAGTTTAGCTGCAGGTAAAGGGGAATCATCTATGTGTCTGGACATGATTTAAAAGTAGTTATTTTCTGTTTGATTTTTTTTTTTTAAAAACTGGTAGATGAAAGGAAATAATTACAATGCTTCAGTAATGAAGAAACTATAGCAAGCTGCCAAAGCGAGTCCCAGAGCATTTCATATAGGCTGCTGTTCTGACATGTTTGTGGCAGTTCTTGTAAATAGGACATGGTGAATTGGCTATTACATTTAATTAAAAGGTATCTACTCAAAAAAAGTTTAAACAGGATGTTCTGCATCTCAACAGATATTGCTGCTGTTTTGATGAAGTGATTACATTTTCAACCTTTGAAAGGTTTGCAGTCTCACATGCTAAATACATTTATGGATAATTGCTTCTTTTTTATTTGAAAATAAATGTTTCAAAATATTTAGTGGTAATATTTCCTTTGTTCACAATGTAGCGATACTGGGAATAGAGCAATATGTTTTATTAAAAATATATTCTGGAGTATTCTTTCATATGTAAGGCTTTATAATTAATACGTTTGTCTAGTATTCTGAGGAAGGATCGCAAGTGTCAGCATGTTTCAAATGGATGTTTATAATAGTTATATAGAATTATTAAAGGGAAGCAAAAGATTTGGCAAGCAATATACTCTTCCTGTGCTAAAAATTAAGCATTACTAAAATGAGATAAAATATATATTTTGAAAAAAATATATTAAAGGAATTTAGAACCTTGAAGCTTTTTCTACTGCAGTGATTACTAAGATCTTTAAGTACCCAAATGTTTTTATAAATTATTTAAATATTGCATCTATATGTTACCATTTCTCAGCTCAAGATGGCATATGTAGTAGTCTGCTCTAATATTATCCCAGGAACAAAAGTACTTAAACAGAATGATTGCAATTTAACATGTACAATCAGATGAAATATATTATATAGCTGGGAAATTAGCTGAGGGTAGAAGAGCATTTAATGTAGTAGTAAGTCATTGGACTCCACTCTTATGTGTATGTATCTCCTATCCCTTTCCCAAATGATCTGTTTTTTTCTTTACCTATCCTCTGGTAAAGTTACAGCAATTATGGAACCTGCAAAGGTCAGATAACTCAAAACTCTGTACTTCTGGTAGCATCCTAAGAGTTCTCAAATCTAGTTACTAGTTACTCTAACCAGTTTATTTTGGCATTAAGATAGCCTCAAATTCTTCTTCCTGCTTCCTCCTAAGATTCCTTGTGACTAAAAGGCAGTCTTAGATCCTCTTTCCAGAATCATCAATGAAGTTCCTATATTTAATTTTATGTTTCACTTTTAAAATTGCAATTTCTCTTGCTCTCTCTTGTAATATAGATATTGTATTTAAAGTAATACCTATGAATTCCTGTTCATATGATATATAAAATAGAATTTCCCTAAGAATGCTTGAGGAAAATGATCTGAAAATAAGATTTGTACTGTATGAGCAATCCAATAAGAATGTTTCTGTACTAAAAGGTAAAATACATTCTTGAGAAATAGTTATAGTAATTTATAATATAATCATTCTTTTTATTCTCGAAAAGAATATTATCATAGAAGATATAATACTGAAAGCTTAATAATATGAGCAGTGATCTCTGAAGTTTCCTCAGTCAGTTTTCATTATTCATCACAAGGTTTTTATTGTGTATCTCTAACAATTTAAGATTTTTTTTTTCTGGCAAGATATATTGGTTGGTGTATGTTGAGTGTAATTCAGTTATCTACTCAGTTATATGGTAGGAGAGCCTATCCAGTTGGGATTGGAGAGCATTACTTTGCTCTCGCTCCTCCTTTTTCCAAAGAAATGTAAATTATCATATGGAATTCTGAGGTGATGCAAGAAAAGGAACGCAATAAGAATCATCTTCAAGTTGAGTTTGACTTATAGTGATTCATGGACATAACTATGCAGTACTGACCAGGCCAAACCCAGCATAGGTTTTGAGCCCAGCCAGGTGCTGCCACCTACTGAAATTGTAGAGAAGAAGTGGGAGTAACTCCAGAGTAACAGGGAGTTCCATGAGCAGAAAATTGAAGAATGGGAGTTGGTTAAAAAATGGACACTTTGACTTGGGTTTCAAAATGCAAGAATGATATATAGGTACATACATTTATATGTTCTTTGTTTAACAAAGAAACAATACATCAGTAATGGTATAACAAAAGTATACATATATTATAATGATTAAAATAAACTAAAAAATTTTAATCATAGCATTTAAAAATAATTGTTTCATTAATTCATTGATTAAATGTATAGAACTAAGTTGATTAT